CCGACAGCCTCCGGGCTTCCAGAATCACGTTATAGTCGGCTTTTTTGCCCGATAAGTGCGTGACTCACTCACGACCGGGCCGACCGTGTAAGGGGGTGAACCGTTACATAACAATTTATAAGAAATTGTTAATAGAATGCAACTATAAGAGTTATATTCTCAGAATATTGTCATAAGGACAATATTCTGCAGCTTTTACGAGTAGTTCCTAATTGGTTGATATAGGCCATTATATCAACCAACGAAGACGCGCCACGACAGACGCACGCAACGAGTGGTGAGCAGATAGTTTATCTACACATTTGTATTTAGACATAGTTAGATGAGGATGAACAGTGGTTTATTAACAGACATTAACTATTATAAATACAGTTCTACTTTTTACTTAAACTAAGTACTCGCTTCTTCTTACCGTCTTCCTCTGCACGTACCAGTGTACGTGAAATTACGAGGCACCGTCTTATTCTGTCGTCAGAACAAGTAGCTTGTACTGTCACCAGTACAAGCCTGAGGGTGCCCCGGTACACCTGGTAGCACTATGTAGTCCGTCCAAGGACCACGTTCACATCTTACATGAACATGTTAGATTATGAAGATGACCAAAGCTTTCACGCTACGCGTGACGGCTACTCCCATTTGAGCAATGTCGAATGGGATGCGGTTGAACGGATGGATTCAACCATGGGCATCCATGCTGTTAGCGTCATGCTAGAGGCTCTCAATAGAGATGCCCAACATGCTACTGTCGCCAAGTTCATTCAAAATGAACTTGACGCTGAACGCAAGAAAGTAGCCTTGCTTCACCAACAAGTTTCTCAACAAGCAGAGTTGTTGAGAGAACAGGGTGCTCAACAGTTTGAGCTGTTGAGACAGCAGCAGGCTGGTGCTGGTGGGTCGATGCACTCGCGTCGACCCGAGACCTTGAAGATTGACATCTCCAAGTATAGGGGAGTCGAAGGGGACTCCCTCTTGAGATGGTTCGTCGAATAAGGCGACGCCATAAGGGCGCGTCGCATCGACGACGGGGATATGCAAGTTGCATATGCCCAGTCAAATCTGGCAGGACGTGCCAAGACTTGGGCTTAGGGGCTCAAGTCGCACGACCCATATGTGTTTGGGTCGTTGGAAATCCTCAAGTCGCGGCTCAGACAAACGTTTGAACCGCCTAGAGCTGAGTTCAGAGCTCGAACCGAACTCTTGAAGCTCAAGCAGGGTAAGCGTGATGTACACGCTTACGCTCAACATATACGACATCTCACGAGTTGTATAAGTTCCAATCCGGTGGATGAACACACGTTGGTTTCGGTGTTCATGCAGGGTCTTGCGGATGGTCCCGTCAAGACTCACCTGTTCCGGCTTGAACTAGATTCACTAGAACAAGCCATTTCCATTGCGGAACAGGAAGACTTCAGTCTGGGACAGGCTCACGCCAGCTCGACATCATTTCGTACACCGAGACGATATGACAGCAGAGGTCCAGAGCCGATGGAACTCTGTTATGTAGAGAGCGAGAAGGCTCTCTCTACAGACTACAAGAAGTTTCAGAAATGCAACAGATGTCAAAAGACAGGACACTACGCTTACGAGTGTAGTGCCCCTCGTCCAGTGTCTCGCGACACTGGGCGTAGTGACCGTCCACCCATGAGAAAGGGGCAGGGACGCGGGTCCGCTGTTGGTGCAAAGACGCAACAACGGGATGGACCGTCAAAAAACGGACAGGATCAGTAGGTGCGGAGCACCCTACTTGTCCAGCAACGTCAAGAGAATTTGTAGGCCTCTTGATGAAGGTTGCTCCCAACACACAAACATTGTGCGTTGCTGCTGTAGGTAATGAGATCTCACTCATTACATTGAAACTCGAAGTGACAAATAAGTTGTCCCTTTGAGCTCTAGTCGATTGTGGGGCGTCCAACAATTTTGTGCGACGCCAATCGCTAGAAGATGGTCACTTCAAGTTTGTAGAGTGTGACACACCTCCTACGAGGATGACGGCACGTCTTGCGACAGGCGCATCCGTAACCTTCATAAAGCGTATAGTGAAGATTTACTATACGCTAGAAGATACCCAATATGACGATGACTTCATCGTATTGGATTTGGATGACAAATTTGATGTCATCCTTGGAATACCGTGGCTCAGAAGGTACGAACCACGGGTTAACTGGCAACATCGAACAGTAACAATGCCTGCCGCTTGTTCATCAGATGGCCATCTGATGAACGTTTTGGAGCGTCCACAAGCGTGTGGATGTACTACGAGTGAGTGCGATGGCCTCACTTGTGGTACGGTCGTTAGTACGACTGCACAAATCCTTAGTGTACCAAACGGTTACACTTCGGAGCAAAGTTCCGGCGGCTGTGAGGAAACACAGGCTGCGCCGAAGGTCCACCACTCGAATAAGTCGGGTGGACTGGGACAAAGATGTATCCCTAGAGGGGAACATCTAGAAGAGAAACAATCGATCGCTCAGGTTAAGCGAAACGATAATCCTAGATCGACTGGAGAGTCTTTCGTAGAGGATCTCGCTGTGGTTGCGCAACCCCAGCTAGAGGAAGTAAAGGGAATAAGTCCCAAGATTACAAATACGGCGGAAATAAGTTCCCCGAAACCCGCGGGAATAAGTCCCCGGGAAGACGAAGGAATAAGTCCTTCGAAGCCTGAGGGAATAAGTCCCCAGGAAATGACAGAGACATTGAATGTCCTAGTCAATAACGGATCAAGTGTAGGCGCTTATGCACTTGATCTGATTGCGCCTCCGAAGTTAACTTCGGAGATCACTCAGTTGCCAACGCTCGAACATAAAAGGTTCTTGCGTTGTCTTCGTAGTGGCAAAGTCAAGCAGATCTGCGTACTCGTCGCTGACGACGAGTGTGTAGCCGACATAAGGTCAGCAACAATGTTTACTGAGAACGAGAGAGTTCTCAGTAGTTCATCGATGGACGAGAGCGTCCTCGATAAAAAGACACGAGTTGAGCAATATGGCTCCCAATCGTGGGAATCGCTCAAGAAAAATCCTCTTTATAAAGATTTGGTTGAACTCAAGGATGTATTCCCTGAAACTGTTCCGTGCGAATGACCGAAGGATAAAGGTGTTCGACACGAGGTCGAGCTTAAACCAGGCTCGAAGTACTGTGTCATGAAGCAGTGGCCACTGCCTCGTGAACAAGTACTTGCGATAGACAAGATCTTTGCCGATCGCTTAGCTGCGGGTCATGTGAGGGAACCAACTTCCCCACATAGCTCTCCGACCTTCTGTGTGTGAAAAGCAACAGGACGGTGGCGGATAGTGCATGCATTTAACAAATTGAACGCTGCAACGGTACCGGCTCAGACGTCGATACCAAGGAAGGACGTAATCATTGATGGTATGTCAAAGAGTATCATCTTTTCGTCCATGGATTTGATGGATGGCTTCTATCAAATCCTTCTGCGAGAACGGGATATACCCTATACCGCAGTTAGCGCGCCTAGCGGCATGCTCTGGGAATGGCTAGTAATGCCACAAGGGCTTAGTAATGCCCCTGCCACGTTCAACACATGTGTATCACATCTGTTGAGGCCGGTACGAGAATTCGCGCCGAGTTATTTCGATGACGTATTCATCCATAGTCGAGCTATGGATGGAAAGTCGGACGTTGAGGTTCACAAGTACCACGTCCGACAGGTTCTTACAATCATGCGAAAGCATCAATCGTATGCAAACCTCAAGAAGTGTATATTTGCAGCAAGCGAAATACCACTTCTTGGGTGCATCGTTGGTAAGAACGGTGTACGTCCTGATCCCGAAAAGATCAAGGCGATCACCGACTGGCCCGTGCCGGTCGATGTCAAAGGTCTTCGAAAATTCCTTGGGCTAGCGGCGTATTTGCATAAGTATTCACGCAATTACGCCGAGATGACTGTACACCTCTCTCGTTTGTTGAAAAAGAACGAGAGGTGGTTATGGAACGCTGAATGTCAGCGCTCCTTTGATGGTATCAAGCAGAGCTTGATACAATCCCCAGTCCTAGCAATAGCCGATCAGGACAGGCCATTTCATGTGGTCTGTGATGCCAGCGATTTCGCAATCGGCTGTGCATTAATGCAGTACGACCTTGAAGGCGTTGAACGCGTCGTCTGCTATCAGTCGCGTCAGCTGCAACCAGCTGAGCGGAACTATCCAGTGCATGACAAGGAACTCCTTGCCATGAAGTATGCACTCGCGAAGTTCAGAGTCTATCTATTAGGAGATAGACCCTTCGTTGTTTACACTGACCATGCGTCCTTACGCACGGCAGTGAACAGACCGCACCTTTCACAACGAATGGCGCGGTGGTTGTCATTCTTTGCAGAATACAACTTTACGGTAGGGTACAAACCAGGACGACTTAATGTCGTCGCTGATGCACTCTCACGTCGTCCCGACTTTGAACCAGTCGTGAAACTTAACAGTGGTACGGCCACTGTTGCGGTTATGACGTCCACAATACCATCTTCAACGTTACATGATGATGTGAGGCGGGCGTATGCCCAAGATGGTGAGATTGTGAAGTTGTTGAAACATCTCTCACAGCCATTTCAAGAATCGTTGAAACGATTATCGTCTGCGTATCGATCTGCATCAGATCGATACACTACTCGCAACGGTTTACTGTATTACACAGCCGTTACTGGTGATACACCACGTGTTGTCATCCCAGATGATACTGATCTGCGTTTGCGGATCATGTTCGAGTATCACGATGCTCCTATAGGAGGACATCGTGGCCGGGAGAAATCATATCTCACGGTGAGTCGAGACTTTTACTGGCCCCGCCAGTATCAGTTTGTGCGAAAGTGTGTTCACGCATACGAGGTCTGTCAACGAGTGAAGTCAAGTCCTTCACTGCGTGCACCATTACAGCCTCTACCGGTTCTGGCAGAGTGCTGGGAATCCATCTCAGTGGATTTCGTCTTCGGGTTAACCAAATACGCACGCGGGAATACGGGTATTCTCGTATTTGTTGACAGATTAAGCAAAATGGTACACCTTGTGGCTGTACCAGAGACAATCACGGCAAGTGGCTGTGCTTGTGTCTTTATCAACACTATCTTCCGACTTCAAGGGTTGTCCCGTGAACTCGCATTAGACAGAGACCCCCGCTTCATAGCAGAATTCTGGCAATCCGTGTTCAAATCACTCGGAACGCACTTGAAGATGTCGACATCTGATCATCCAGAGTCAGATGGTCAGACGGAACGTGCCAATCGTGTCCTTGAAGAGATACTTCGAGGATACGTACACTCCTTTAAGAGTTGGAGTGAGTTCTTGCCAATGGTAGAGTTTGCCATTAACAACTCGGTGCATGCGTCCACGACACATACACCGTTTTACGTGAATGGCTTGCGCCATCCGCGTGTACCCACCTTACTAGAGTGTAGCTCTGGTTTAAGGGAGGGAGGAACTCGCGCGAGCAAAAACCGAATTGGTTCACGCTCATCACGCTCTGACGAAGAGGTCATTGCGTTTGATGCCGATATCGACAACATCGATATCGAAGAAGATGATGCCAGTGAGAGCGAGGAAGCCCTCACTGAAGAAGAGATTGATGTCGCTGCAGTGCACTCACAGCGCACCGAAGCTAACGAGTCAGCAGATGAGTTCATACTGGCTCGTGGAACGGTAGTCCGTTTTGTTCAATACTCCATCGCCGAAGAGGTGGATAAGCAAAAGCAAAACGCAGACAAGAATGGAAGGGCAAACACTCTTTGATTTAATTAAGGTGACTTAGTCCTACTGTCTGCGGTAACCTACCAAAGCATGTAGTGACTAACTTGGGTAGCAGTAAACTACTACCCAAGTACATTGTCCCATTTCGTGTACTGCATCGCCTAGGCAACGCATACACGATCGAATTGCCACGTAAGATGCGAACGCATCCCACGTTTTACGTTGGTCGGCTTAAGCCGTACCATCAGTACGCTGTTTCTTCCGATGAAGAACGCCCTTGCGCTCAAGAATCTCACAGAGGGCTTTGTGCTCCCGATGGTGGATATCAACTAGGGTCGGAAGAGCAGTTATCTCAGCCCGAGACCGATCAATATCCACACGAGCTACCCTTACCTCGTCACGCAGAGATGTCAAAGCTCTCTCGTTCTCAAGCTGAGCAAAAGCAAACTCAGCTCGATGCTTCAAGACAGTGTCCACCAGTTGAAGACGCCTGTCCCGCTCATGCTCGAAGTCGCCGCGCAACGCAAGAGTTACGCGATCAAAGAGGCTCTCGGGGACACACGCTCCCCCACGATAGTTTGGAGAGCGTTTTTCCTCCTCCTCCACCTCCATTAGAGGACTCTCGTGGTGGCCAGCGCTATCTGGTTGAGCGGCTGTTGAACCACCGCGATGTGAACGGACGTCGGACGAGTTACCTCGCCTGGTGGCGCGGTTATCCCCCGTCCTGGGATTCTTGGGAGCCCCGCTCCCAACTGAGGATTGACGTACTGGGTCTGGTTGAGCAGTACAACTCGGCACATCCTGTGCCGCAGAAGGACCACCGGAGAAAGTCTTCCCGGCACGGTCGTGAAGGGATTTCAGGTCGTCAATTCCTTCGTACACCTCAGTAGAGATACGTACGCGCCACCACGGGCTAGTAAGGAGGTAAGCCTCCTTAGGTGCGCGCGCAGAGTTTTTTACACAACAAGGGCACAGGTCTCCCCAGGAAAGACAGGGTAACCCACCCTCCTTAGACAGACGATGCAGCTTATAGCGTGCACCTGTCGGGGTTCTTTTCTCAACCTTATCACGAGCTTTGATAAGTTTGGCGTTCCAAACGTCACGACCTACATCCTCAAGGTTATGGATGTAAGCATTCCACGCTTGAAGCAGTGAGGGACCATCACGTTTGTGATACCCACTGTACCAACGATGTTTTAAGAAAGCATCGATGACGAATTCATGCTCACTGTGATAGTCTTTCGCACTGGGGTCAAGGTGATGGATCCTTGACGAATCGAACAATCGTATTCGATAGCGATCACTTGTCGTCGCCGACGAGCGATCCATGAATAACTTTGGAGGCAGCCATGCTTTCTCTTCGGGAGCGAGACGCAACACGCTGCAGTCCCGATCTTCCTGCGACGTGCCGACAGAAGTACTGGCACCTCGTTGCGAAATGGTGTCCATAGGAGAACCGACACCACTGTGAGCGCCCGAGTCTTGCGATCTCGAGCGCCTTCGCTTTGGCTATGGTTCATATGATTTGTCAGGTGAACCAAAGATGCTACGACGCGTGGCATCATCCATGCCACGCTTGGCAGGCGGCTTAAATTAGATCGCCGTCGATACGGATCCGTCATCCGTATCAGGAGAGTATGAGACACCGAGCTCGTACTCTGTGAAGACACGAGTGTCTTCATGACCAGCGCCTGCATCACCAAGTGACACAGGCTGGGTCGCTTCAGCAACCGATGGGGCATCAGTTGCTGTTGTTTCTGCTTCGGCGTCCGCACAGAGACGTGCAGACGCGCTCTCGGCGGCCTTGTTCGCGCATCGCATGGGCTTGTTAACCATGCGATGAAACTGTTGGAAGGTGGACGCGGACCAACAAGTGCAAACCCCGTCCCAAATGATTTGGGACGAGTATCCATTTAGTCAATCAGTCACTAAAGTGACTGATGGTTAAGGGGGGGGTGATGTAACGGGGTGAATCGTTACATAACAATTTATAAGAAATTGTTAATAGAATATAACTATAACAGTTATATTCTCAGAATATTGTCATAAGGACAAATATTCTGTAGCACTTTCGAGTAGTCCCTAATTGGTTGATATAGGCCTTTATATCAACCAACGAAGACGCGCCACGACAGACGCACGCAACGAGTGATGAGCAGATAGTTTATCTACACATTTGCATGTAGATATATTAGATGAGGATGAACAGTGGTTTATTAACAGACATTAACTATTATAAATACAGTTCTACTTTTTACTTAAACTAAGTACTCGCTTCTTCTTACCGTCTTCCTCTGCACGTACCAGTGTACGTGAAGTGACAAGGCACCGCCTTATTCTATCGTCAGAATAAGTAGCTTGTACTGTCATCAGTACAAGCTTCAGGGTGCCCCGTTACAGACCGCCGATCCCTGCAGCTGCAAGAACGCCAACATATGTTGTCCTATTGCCAGTGTCGTAGCAAGGTTGGACCATCAAGCCGTACTTACTACTGTGTCGCTATCTGTTAGAAAACTGAGTTAGCTAAGACAGACACGATGCTTTGAAGAAGGCAAGTTGAAAAGTGATTAATCTGGAGTAAAGCTAAAACACAAACTACAGACTCATGCTGCTCTGCATCATTCCCCTGATGGTGTCATCACACGAGTAAATTGCAAATCCAGCACCATTTAAATGCAAACATTGCAAAACCCGCACCAGCTGCATAACCAGTACCACCCCCTGACGTACTTAATGTGTACCACTTTAATCACGGTGATGTGACCGATTCATTTGAGTCTCCACGCGCCAATAATGAAATCGGGGCTTCGTTGTTACCCCCCTACTTTTTTGTTTTCCAGCTCCGACCCCTCAAAAGAGCCTCTGATTGCTGTTGTAACGGGGCACCCTTTGTTTGGGGTGCCCCGAAACTTCACGTACACTAGTACGCACAGAGGAAGCTAAGCTACTTGAACGACTCGATCAAGTAAGGTAAAAAGAGAACTGTTTTTATATAGTTAAGCTATCAATATATCTTTAATCTTTATCTAACTACGTTAAACTACGCCGTCGTATGACGACAATCTGCTCACCACTCATTGCGCGCGTCTAGCAGCGATTGGTGGCAATCTACGGTTGATATGTCTTATATCAACCAATCTTGGAGCAGCGCATGAATATAATTCTACAAGGGGATAATGTTCCTTCAATATTATCCACCTCGGATGATCTCGGTAGAATATTGTCATGCTAGACTATATCCCTATTGACACCGTTTGGTGTCAATTTCATGTAACAGGCTATCCCGTTACATCACCCCCTGACCATAAATCACCCGTTGATTGAGTTAGATTTGATTGGGACAGGGTGAACACCATTGGATCACTCTGGGAAAGGGAGCACTTGTTGGTCAAATTCCATTCATTTGCCAATCCGACGCATGGTTTCCAAAACTTAAGCGAGTTGCTACTGCAGCAGCAAGAATAGAGGCTGCACGCATGCATGCAGCCGGATAGAGTATTTCTTACTCCTCATTAGCAGGCAATTCGTCGTCTGTTGTCGTGAATGCTCCACGTGGTGAGTCACCACGTGCGACAGGTACATCCGTTGCGTCTGCAGCGGGTACCTCAAATCGTAATCCAGACGAGTCTGATATAGAGCTCATCTATTCCGGCAAGTCGGACGACGCATCCGACTCGAAGGCGACTCCTCACGCCACGGGATCACCCGGGGCGGACGCTGCAAAAGTTAGGCTGAATGGCTCTGGTCAGCGCGGCAGCATCATTTCCGAGATCTTTGTATCGAGTGATTACTCCGATGAGCCTCACGCAAGCCCTACCAACGATAGGACGCGTGGATACGGTGGTGATGCACCTATACATCACCACGAGCTAAGTAATTCAAGATATCGGGGTAACACTAGTGCCAGTGCTCATGCTGGCACCAATCAAGAGGCCAGGGACCGAAATGTCCTGCGCCACGCTCCTGAAGTGGAATCTCCGTGGATGCCGCCATCCAGATAGTTGTACCGGTTGGCCGGCATAACTACCGAACGGGATCGAATCCGTTTTTTGATTGCAGGAAGATTTGTCCTCCTGATTCCAGCACGGAAACTATCCGTGCTGAGGAAGAGTTCTTCACCGATGCGTTTTTCAAACATCGGTAGTACAATGGTAGCCGTATACGGGACGGTAAGGCCTTAGTGCAAGGATATAATGCCCTCCCATAATATCGAGTGCATTGACCATTGAACCTGGCTCGGTAAACTTGATTCAGCTCGCATCAGGTTTGAGAAGCGTAACCCAGTCGGTGTACGATACAAGTTGCACCGACTGTCAACAGAGGCAGGATTACTCGGTCTCTCGTGGGGTGATTCGTGTCCAAGTTGCCTGGACAACTCGAACCGTACCCCTAGAGAGACCTACCGTTCTAATTATCCCTACTGGAAGGCGCGCATCTCTTTCGAGATGGCCGAAGGGATCGACACTTTGCGAAACCTGTACTTGCGTTCGGGAGGTCATTGTCCGACGGCCCTCTTCAAACGCAGCGGGTGGGTCTCGTCGTACTGCTCGACGAGACTAAGTACATCAACAATCAGCTGGGCACGAGGCTCCCATCTGTCCACGCCGGTGGATAGCCACGCCAGCGGACGAGGTAACTCGTCCGGACGCCATTCACATCGCGGTGGTTCAAAATACGCTCCACTAGGAAGCGATGACCATCGCTTGAGTCCACCAAAGGATGTGGTGGCGGTGGGAACACCTGATCCGGCTCGAGGGTCGAATCAACTTAATGTTCAAGAGCTGAACCGTCTAACGGAACAGTTGCAAGATGACCTGGCTCACGAACGGATTCAGCGTTATGGGCTTGAGGATCTTGTGAGTGATAATTATGATTCCCTAACGCACGATCGTCAGACGTTCGTGCCACTTTTTCGTTCGCGCAACTTGAGACCGAACGTTCGATTAGTTCTCTTCGTGACGAGCTGGCTGTAGCTTGTCAAGACATCGCTGAACTGCGTGAACAGCTCGCTTCGCTAGTCGACCAGACTGGCTCGTCGAAAC